ATAGTAATAATAAATAAAATTAAATAAATAATTTTTAAAAATTGAGACAGACTGGGAAACAGGAATGAGTCTGCTCAAGGCAGAGTGCCTGTGGCCCCCCAGACCCACTGGGGCCTAACTTGCCACCCCTCTGTTTGCCTTCCCAGGAGAACTCCGACACCTTCCTCTTGACTGTGGACACAGACTGGAAGGTAGGTCAAGGCTTGGCCTCCCGAGATATGGGAGGATGGGCAGCTGGACAGTGCCTTGCCCCTCCCAGCCAGGTCCTAGACGAGGGTCCAGACTGTCCACGTGCCCCCAGCCTGGAGTGTCCTGGGCTCGGCATCTCACAGCCTCCAGGACTGACCCCACTGCTCACAGCAGCTCTGTCCACCTCGGCCCCTGGCCCACCCTCCACCCAACGGGAAGATGCCTCCATTGGGAGGCAGTCTGACCCTCTGTGAACAGGACACCAGGGAGAATAGGGGAGGCCGGAGGGGAGTGAGGAAGGAGAGGGAATGAGGGATGCTGTCATCTGAATCAGCATTTCCCTCCAATGAAAACCAAATTGATGCTCCAAAATAGCTCCGGTTTCCATGGCAGCCGTTGCCTGGACAACCATGTCCTCTTTACTTTGATTCCAGACTCTCTGTGGAAACTGAAATCGCTCTTTGTTTTTATTCCTCCACATGTCGGTCTTGCTCACTTGCACAGCTGTTTCTGTCTGAGTCCCATGGTGACTGTCAGCACCAGCAGCACCAGGGGAGCCTCCCTGGGCTGCAGACCCTCCGCCCTCAGTGCACGCCGCACAAAGTCAGACCCTTCCTCCTGCAAGGAACCAGCCCCCAGGCCGCTGCCCTTGTCTGGGCTTGACCTCCATTTGGGTCGGTCTCCAAGCCACATGACAGCACCAGCCTTGTGGTCTGGACGCAGGGGTGACGCAGGAGGTAGCGCTGCCGCCGGTTCCTCCCTGAGCCAGCAGCTCCACTGGCCTGTGCTCTGGTCCCTTGGTCACGCGCCACTTCAAGGACGTGAAGGGAGGCTTCAGGGCAGCCAGTGGGCACATGCTTCTGTCCCCAAGGAGCACCATCTCCAAACCCAAAGGCTCTGGGCCAGGGAAGGAAGGATGGAAGTCTGCAGTGGGGACTGAATGGAGCCCCAGTGGAGGGGCTGGAGAGGAGAGGCCGAGAGGGCCTGGGCTGTGAGCAAGGGACAGCAGGGTCGGAGCAGACACACTACGGTGTTCTCTTTGTCCTCCGCGTTCCAAAGAGGAGCGGGAACATGTGGGCAAACGTCCTGGAGGAGGGGACTGATGAAATAAAACCCCAGGGCAGCCCCTCCCACTGGCCTGACACTGTGGGCCACCGCATGGGGGTCTGAGGCTGTGGCAGTGACAACCAGCCCCCAACATGCACACACGCACATGCACACGTGTACAGACCTGCTGTGGGGAGGGAGGGAAGAGCATCCGGGGATCGTGGAAGAGGCCCCAGCCCAGCTGAGTCTGTAAACCTCCCCCTTGCATTGAGCCCTCTGAGCAGGAGCCCCGACTCACTGCGCCATGCCCAGGTAGCTGCCCAGTGTGTGGGACCTCATTCTTTTTTTTTTTTTTTTGAGAGAGAGATTTTTGCTATAGGGTGCGTGCGCTCTTTAGAGAGACAGAGATACAGAAAGCAAGAAATCACCCCCCAGGGGTGATGGCCATACTGCAATCCTTTCTCCATTCTCTTCTTGGGATTTTGGGCACGTGCACACACGCGCCCAGCATGAGTTTTAGGCCTCTGGGTCTGGGACTCAAACTGTGGTTGACTACATGGGAGCCGAGTGACGTAACCATTACACCATCTGCTGTTCCCAGGACCTGGTTCTTAAGCTCTTTCACTTGGGAAGCCAGCAGATGGTGTGGTGGTTAAGGTGGCCAACCATGGTTCAAGTCGTGGACGTGGAGGACTGAAACTATGCTGGGTGTGTGAGAGGAGAACTACACCTAAAATCCTGAGAGGAGAATGGAGAAGGGATTGCGGTGTGGCCATCCCCCTGGACGGTGATTTCTCGCTTTCTCTCTCTTTCTCTCTTTCTGTCTCTCTTTAGTGAGCACACGTGCCCTAGAGCAAACTCTTTTTACAGAGGCACCATCCTGTCCACTCTGGTTACACCACATGGAGGCAGCTTTGTTTCTGTTTTCCTAGTAAAGCAGCCCTGAGGATGGCCATTATCTGGGCCAGCGCCTGGCAAGGATCTTATTCCCGATTTCACAGTGACTGGCACTGGCCCAGTGGGCCCAGCCACTAGGAGGAGCATGGTAGAGGGTCCGAGTCAGGCAGACCTAGGTCCAGATCCTGGCCCTGCCGCTTACGGGCCAGGTGACCTCTGGCACAGAGTCGCTCTCACTGCCTGTTCTGTTGTGCAGCGAGGCAGGCACTCAGCACCCCCGAGTCATACCCAGTCGCACTCACCAGTGTGAGGTGATGGTGCCCACAGGCCCCAGGGTCGGCGGAGTGGAACAAGAGGCCCTGAGAGCCAGACTGCCTGGGAGTGGTTTCCGGTTCTGTGCTCACTAGCTGCGTGACATCGGGCAGGTTGCCAGCCCTCTCTGTGCCTCATATGTAAGTGGGGATTAAGAAGATAAAACAAGCTTATGTGTAAGGTGCCCGGCTCGGAGGAGACATTGTAATAGAAATGTTTGTGCCCCGGGAACCAGCAGTTAGTGTAATGGCTATGTCGCTGGACTCCCACGTAGTTGACTGCGGTTTGCGTCCCGGACCCGGTGGCTTAAAACTCACGCCAGGCGCGTGTGCATGCGTGCCCAAGATCCCGAGAGGAGAATGGAGGAGAAGGGATTACAGCGTGGCCATCCCCCCTGGGGGGTGATTTCTCACTTTCTGTCTCTATGTCTCTCTCTGCCTGGCGAGCGCATGCGCCCTATAGCAAAAATCTCTCCAAAAAACAAAAAATGTTTGCGCCCCAATAATGTGGCCCCAGGCCCAGAGTGCAGAGGTGCTAGGGCCTCCGCTGCTTACTGGGCGAGTGAGCAAATCACCTGACCCCTTGGTTTCTCGGTTTCCTGATCCCTCCTCACAGGTTCATGAATATTCTCTGTATTATCCTTACAACAGCCTACATAGTTACAGAGATTACATGAGGGCTCCAGTCGCCATAGACTTTGATCCACCTGAGTGGTAGGGGACACTGCTGTTTCTCTCATTGACAGAAATGGAGGCTCAGAGAGGTCAACTGACTTGCCCACGGTCACACAGTAAAGAAGTGGCAAAACTATGACTGCCCCTGGGGTTTGGCTCACGAAACCTGAGCCGGCCTCGTGTGGTCGCCTCACAGCCTCCAAGGAAGTGGCCAGCAGTTGGAGATGCGCACAGCACAGATGGTCCCATTTCTCCCCTGACAGGGCCTGGGCAGGGGCGGGGTTAGGTCTGGAGTGATTTCCGTCTTCTTTTCCCGTGTTCTTACGGAAGCTCCGGGAGGAGGGCACAATTTCTATTTTACAGCTGAGGAGCCTGAGGTGTAGAGAGGTTAGCAAATCTTGCCCAAGGTCACCAGCTAGTGGGGCAGGACTTGAACTCAGGTCTAGAGATTTATAGCCAGTGAGCTGAGCAGACAAGGGGACTATGGTTTAGGGTGGGCAGTGTCACAGGTCAGCTTGTCACCCAGGTCCAGGGTGGGGGAGGCCATTCTGGTCAGAGGTTGGAGTGAGCGCAGGATTGGGTGGGGCTATCAGAGGACTCTGGGCCATGCCTCTGCAGCCTGCCACAGTTGTCTCAGCCTCCACCTGTTACCATGGTTACAGGGGACACCCCCTCTCACACCCCTGCTGCCCTGGGGTGCACATGGCCTAGGATTCTGCTCTAGGTCTAAGGGGGATAGTGAGAGGTCAAAGGTGGGACACAGAAAGTGTTGGTGCCCCAAAGCAAAGGACACCGCCAGGAATAGCACACAGCAGGCGCTGACCAGGTCACTGGGCACCCAGGGACAGGAGCTGACCGCTTTTCCCTAGGGCAGCCGGCCAGCACGCAGGGCTGCAGCGAAGGCTGGGGCGAGCAGCGCGTTCCTTCAGTGAGGCAGAAGGGCACGGACACCCGACTCCTTCCCTCCACTCCGGTAGCTCCCTTCTCTCACCCCTGGCTCCCTCCTCTGTTCCCCTCCCTGGCCTATTTCCTCCCCTCCTCTACTCTCTTGTGGCTCCCCTTCTCCCGTTCCCCTCCCAGATGCCTGCTGCCCAGGAGGACAAGGCATGAAGCCCGAGGGGGGCATGCACCCCACTCCTCAGAGCCCTAGGCACCAGGGCCCTCAGGGACTGGCTGCAGGAAAGACGGTGGCCTGCTGTCTCCTCTCTCCCCCCGTGGCCTTAAGCCCCTTAGAGCAGTGTAGGGCTGGAGAGGGCAGAGCTGGTATGTGTCCCCTCTGGTCCTGCACTCTGCCCAGGTCCCTGGGTCCCGGAACCCTGCTGTCAGCAGTGTGGGCAAGACCATGGGCAAAGTGGAAGCTGCCCTAGGGCACAGGTGCTGGTGGGTGAGGAAGAAGCAGTCCCTGAAGCAAGGCGTCGGTCTGGCTGCTCAGACGGCAGTGCCTCCCTGGGTCCCCTCAAGGTTAAGTGACCCAGGCCTCCCTGATGGCTGTGCTTGGAGCCCTCTCAGACCGTTGTACTGCCCGTTGTGGGTCAAGGGCTCTGCGGTACGGGGGCATCCCCAAGAGTGCAGGCCTGTCCCGCGTCAGTGTGCCCGTCTGAGAAGCCCTGGTGGACCTGACAGGGCCGCGTGTGCCACGGCAGCTGCTGGATGGTGCCGTGAGTGGGGTGCGGGGGAGCTGCAGGGTCTGGGGCCATCCAGGACGGTGTGCGGTGGGGAGGGAGGAGCCGGAGTAGGGCTGGATGAGCGAGGACCTCGGGAGCCAATTGAAGCCAGGTTTGTCTCCCGACAGCCAATCTGGGAGCAGGGGCCCCGGCTGAGCAAGTGGCTGCCCAGAAACCCTGCGGGGAGGCGGGGCCGGCTGCGCAGGGCCGGAACCTGCGTATAAATGGCCCGGGAGTGGCGTCCCAGCGCAGAGCCGACCGTCTCTCACTCCAGCGGCCCCCTCCCTCTGGACCCGAGTGACTCAGGCTTTTGTTTGCCCTTCCCGGCTGAGGCGGGGGCCCTCCCTCAGCAAGATGCCGGAGTGCTGGGATGGGGTGAGTGAGGGCTCTGGGGCCAGCGAAGCGGGCAGGGAAGATGGGGCATCCTTGTCACCCGCTGCAGTGGGGAAGAAGCATCCCTCTGCCCATGTCTGGTGGCAGCTCTGCCTTGGGATCATTGAGACCAGCGAGCTCCGGTCTCCCTGGTGACTCCGGTCGGCAGGAGTGGTTGGGGGCAGCGGCTAGCAGGGCCTAGGGGGCGGAGGGGAAGGGCAGGGAGGGGTGAGTTCTCTGCAGGAAATGGATGCACTGGCGGAGCTGTCCGGTCGGCTGTGCCCTCTGCTGGTGTCTGCCTGGGCGTCTGGGACCACCTCAGTGCAGGGGGTGAGCGGGTGTCCAGTGCCAGTCCCAGACCGTGTTCCTCGTGAGTCTGGGGTGTCTGTGCATGCAGGGTCTGCCCACCCCTCCGTGTGTTGGGGTGTCGTGGTTGTCTGGAGAGTGCAGCAGTGTGATGGCAAAGGCGGGCAGCCGCTTGCTCATGCAGCCCCAGGGGCACTGCGGTGTGGGCAGGTCCCGGCCTCAGCCATGACGGCAAGGGTCCCTGCAGGGAAACGAGGAAGGGTCGTCTTGCTTTATTTTGTAGAGGGGGGAAGACAACATTGGAGCCATGAGTCCATGGGGCTTGGGGTTCCTGGGTAAGGCCAGGGTGCCTCCTCCTGCCCCCAGGACAGCAGGTCCCCAGGTCTCCTACCGTTCTGGCTCAAGGAGGGAGAGGTGCGGGCAGGCCTACCCTGCACGGTGCATCCGCCCCGCCCCATCTGAAGGCTGTGGGTTCCGAACATCAGTGCCCACCCACCCATGCAAACCCCGTGTGCTGAATTATTGATGCGGTTGACAGAAAGAGCCGCACTACCGCCATCTCCTGTGTGCGCCCAGTCCGCTCAGAGCCCTCTCCCACCCCACCTCCCAGACTTCAAGGTCATGAGCAAGCGGACATGTACTGGCTGAAGGGGGATGTCAGAGCCCCCTCCCTTGCTGCGCAGTGTTGGTGCCCACCTGGAAGCAGGGGCCAGGGTCTGACGTCACCGGGAGCCAATGGTAGTGCTCAGTCCTGAGGGTTGGGGGTTCAGAGCACCTTGGGCTGCAACCCTTGAAGTGTCTCTGTGTGTAGCGCCCCGAGAACGAGAACAGTGACACTCGGCCACTATCAGGCTGAGCTAGGTCTGAGCTACCTGCCAAGAGTCAGGGAGGTGCAAAGGAGGTCTAGAGGGTTCAGCCAAGGTCACTGGACAACCTGGCCCATGGCCCCGAGGGCCCGCCCAGGTCCAGGCTGGTCCCAGAGAGCTGAGTCTTAGTAGGGCGAGGCTGCTTGGCAGTGTCTGGGAGATGGGGACGGGGCAGCCACATCAGGACTGGGAGGGGACAGACAGAACCTACTCACAGGGAAGGCGGGCACCCCCTCACGCGTGCTGCCACGCCGGGTGTGGGGGCTGACCTGCCCCAGAACGGCCCTAAGGGCCCTTAGCGGCAGGAAGCGCATTGCAGCTTTCTCTCTGTGCGTCCCCCCTGCCCCCACCCTGCCCTCCGGAGCTGCTAGAATGTGAAATGAGAGGTGGGGAATGCGGCAGGGACAGCCCCAGCAGGGACTGGCAGCGTGAGCACCCACCAGCTCCATCTCGAGGGTGGAGCTTGCCCTCTTAGAAAGTGCAGCCTTTAGTACATGCATAGCCCCGGCCTCCAGACTGGCACCAGGCAAGGCCCGCCCTGCCCACCCTGGCTTGACCTTGGGCAGACATTTCTCTTTCCTGGCCTCAGTGTCCTCTTCTCTGGCTTAGATCCACTTGAGGAGTAAAGGAGAAGATGCGAAAAGTGAGCAGGAAGCGTCCCTGGGTTTCACAGGCCCCGAGGGGGGACCGGCCCTGGATGTGGGAGGCTGTGGCAGGCCTGGGCCCATCTGGTGGGCCACAGAGAAATAGATAGGCCCCACAGAAGCGTGGCTCGTGGCTCCCAGGGTGGGGCCTCTGCCTACAGGTCAACTCTACCCTGTCACTCCCTGCTGGTGAGACAGGCCTGGGCAGTGGTCCCCTGAGCCCAGACCCAAGAAGGCCAGTCCTCGAGACCCTGCCTCCTCTTTCCTGTCGAGGCCAGGAACTTAGGTTCAGAAGTTCCTGGTCTACAAAAGGGGGAAGACGCCCCTTCTCTCTTGGAAGCCTGGCAGGTAGTGGGTGCTTAGTTGTTTGCTATTTCCATCCTGTCCTGACCCCAGATCCACCTCCAGCTCACTGGGTGCCTACTGCGCTTCTCGGGGCTCCCCATGGACCAGGGCGGGGCTGTTTGCCCAGCTCTGACAGGCCCTCAGAGCGGAGCTCCCCAACTGAGCGTGACTGAGCGTGAGAATGGCCAGGGCGCAAAGGGCGCAGCTAACAGCGTCTCTCGTCTCTCGAGGCTCAGGGCTGCCCAGCATGGCAGCCTCCCGGGCCTCTCCTTGTGCTCAGCCTTCCAGACAGCAACAAGTGTAGTTCTTGCCAAGTCCCTGTGAGGTAGCTCGAGGTGAAGAGGCCGAGGCACAGAGAAGTGACATGCCCGCTCAGGGTCACACAGTAAGGGGCAGAGCTGAGTCTTCCTGAGGAGTGAGCACCCTGAGCAGCGAAAGCAGGGGCAGGCACTCAAGGGGATCTGGAGCAGGCATGGCTGCAGAAGGCTTTCGAGTGTGTGAGTGTGCGCGTGTTGTGTGAGGGTGTTGTCTCACCTGACCCTGCCTGAAGGAGGCCTTGATCATGTCTAGGTCACAGGGAAGGGCAGTCAAGGCAGAAGGATAGGTATGATGGCGTAGTGGATAGGTGCTGGACTCCCACACGGCTGACCATGGTTTGAGTCCCGGACCTGGCAGCTTACTTTCTCACTTTCCCTTTCTCTCTCTCTCTCTCATCAAATTAAAAAAATAATAACAAATAGAATTAAATAAGTAAATAATTCTTTAAAAGAAAAAAAAAAGAGGAGGACGGGCATGAGTAAGAGTTGGGTGGGAGCCAAGGGCTGGTGTGAGGTGGGGGCTGGCTTGGTGTTTACAGAGAGTTCCAGGCAAGGCTGTTGAGGCTATAGCTTTTCAGCAGCAGGAAGCCCCTGGGGGTTTTGGAGAGGTTTATTCTCCTCCCCCCCATAGGGCACATGCGCTGTCAGACAGAGAGAGACATAGAGACAGAAAGCGAGAAATCCCCCCCCAGGGGGGGTGGCCACACCGCAATCCCTTCTCCTCCATTCTCCTGTCGGGATCTTGGGCACACACGCACATGTGCCCGGCGTGAGTTTTAAGCCACTGGGTCCAGGACGCGAACCGCAGTCGACTATGTGAGAGTCCAGCGACATAGCCATTACGCTAACTGCTCGTCCCCCCCTGGGGGTTTTGAATGGGGAGGGCCCCAGGCTGCTGTCTTGCGGGAGAAGCTGCTGGAAAATGGAGGAGTCGGACCCCAATAAACCCTCGACCAAGTGGTGGACAGGCAGAGCCTGGGCCTGGGCTGCAGCTGCTTGCCCCATGGGCTACTTCGCAGAGGGAAGCAGAGCTTTCCTTCACAGCCCAGCTCATGTGGGTCCTTGGGCTGCACACTCCCAAGAAGGGGTGTTCACCGGGTCCGTCCTCTTCAGGGCTACTTGGGGTGATGAGAATAGGACGCCCTCGTGGGGGGTACCCAGGGTGTTCAGAACGGTCTCTCCCCTCTAGGAACATGACATCGAGACGCCTTATGGCCTCCTGCACGTGGTGATCCGAGGCGCCCCCAAGGGAAACCGCCCAGCCATCCTCACTTACCATGATGTGGGCCTCAACCGTAAGTGCTGCCTGGCCTCCCTCACCCCTCCCCTGCCTCAAATCTGCTCCCTCTACCCCACAGCACACTGTGGAACCTGCTCCCACCCAGCTCTGTGGCCTCAGCCATCTGGGCCTCAGTTTCCCTGTTGGTCCCTGAGGCTGATCGCCTCTGCCTCGCTGCCCTCCCACCCCACCCCCTCTGCTGGGCCACAGCTGAGAGGTGTGTCTCTGCAGACAAGCTGTGCTTCAACACCTTCTTCAACTTCGAGGACATGCAGGAGATCACCAAGCACTTCGTAGTGTGCCATGTGGATGCCCCTGGACAGCAGGTGGGGGCGTCACAGTTTCCTCAGGGGTAGGTACCGGGAGCCCCTGGCCTGGCCCCCAGCTCTGCAGCTCAGGCCACTCCCAGGCCCTGACCCCCTGTGCTCCCTGCAGGTACCAGTTCCCCTCCATGGAGCAGCTGGCAGCCATGCTCCCCAGCGTGGTGCAGCACTTCGGGTGAGTCCCCACCAGCCCTGCCCTGTGCTGGACATCCGGGTGCCCACCACCATTACCGAGGGTTCTGGGCTGTGGGCAGGGCTTGCTCTAGAGGGGGTTCATGGCAAATGGCACCCCCGCCCTGGAGTGACCAGCCCTGCTCTGTGCCAGGTTCAAGTACGTGATAGGCATCGGCGTGGGAGCTGGTGCCTACGTGCTGGCCAAGTTTGCGGTGAGTCTCCCCGCTCCCCCACCCCAGAACCCCACTGCCATCCCAGGGCAGCCCTTCAGCCACTAGGAATTCTCACTCTTCCTCTTTTGCCCTCCCCGACTTCCTCTTCATGTGGAAAAAGTCTTTCTTTTTTCCCTGCAAAGAAATTAATAATAAAAAAGTTACTGTCTCTGGCTAGCCTTACCCAACATGTTTTTGAAATGTAACTTTCAGGCCAGCCCATAGCCTGGTGGCTAAGGTGTGTGGATCTCACATGGCTGGCTGTATGGTTCAAGTCCCAGACAAAGCAGCCTGAGAAACACAGCAGACTCATGTGCATGTGTGCTCAAAATCTTGAAAGGAGGGAGAAATGGAGAAGGGATTGCAGTGTGACCATCCCCCATGGGGAGTGCTCTCTACCCCCCCACACACACACACACACTTCTCTCCCCTCTCCCAAGCACATGTGCCACTGGCAAATTAAAATTTAAAAAAGGTGTTACTTTCATCGAATCTCACAGCCTTACTGTAAGTAAATCTTTGTTAAAAAATCATTCATGTATGGGACTAGCAGTTGGCATAATGGCTATGTCATTGGACTCCCATGTAGTCGACTACGGTTGGAGGCCTGGACCCGGTGGCTTAAACTCACGCTGGGCACGTGTGCGTGCGTGCCCAAGATCCCGAGAGGAGAATGGAAGAGAAGGGATTGTGTCGTGGCCATCCCCCCCGGGGGGGTGATTTCTCACTTTCTGACTCTCTGTCTCTCTCTGTCTTTCTGGCGAATGCATGTGCCCTATAGCAAAAACCTCTTAAAAAGCAATTCATGTTTACATAGTAATCAGTGAAGGACAATCTTTACTTAGTAACTAAGGCAATTGATTATAATTGTTGATAATAGAAATTCTGGCTTCAGATAATAGTTAAGCAAGTTATGGTTTATAGTCTTAAGAAAATGTGGCTACGCTGCAATCCACCTCCTCCATCTCTCCCTCGCTTTGGAACACTGGGCGCTCCTCAAGCCTTTGGGTCCATGTGGGATCCAGCTGCTCTAACCACCATGCCACCAGCTGGCCCCAGGTCTTCACTTTTTATAAAAACCAAGAAACAACATGTTTAAGATCTCTTGGTTTGTTTTTTAAAGACTTATTTATCTAATATTTTATTTATTCATTTATTTTAATTTGACCAGAGAGAGAGAAAGTGAGAAAGTAAGCCACCAGATCTGGGACTCAAACCATGGTCCACCATGTGGGAGTGTCCAGCTCCTCAACCATCATGCCACCTGCTGGTCCCCAGGATCTCTTGATTTTTTTTCAGAGAGAGATTTTTGCTGTAGGGCATGCGCCCTTGCCAAAGACAGGAAGGGAGAAAAAAAGGGAGAAATTATCCCCTGGGAGGATGGCCACGCCTCAGTTCCTTCTCCTCCATTCTCCTTTCAGGACTTTGGGCATGCATACACACATGCCTGACCTGAGTTTCAAGCTGCCAGGTCTGGGACTTGAACCACAGTGGACCACATGGGAGTCCAGTACCTTAACCACTATGCTACCTGCTGGCCCTTATGTTTAAAATCTTATGATGTTTAATCATGTTTTGCAACACCACCATTGTCAGAGACTTTTTAAACACTTTTTTATTCTTTTATTAAACATTCGATTGCTATACATAATTTGGCTTATAAAGAACAAAGACTTTTGGGACCAGCAGTTAGCTGGTTACGTTGCTGAACTCTTGTGTAGTCAACCGCAGTTCGAGTCTCAGTCCCAGTGGCTTAAACTCACGCCAGACACGTGCGCATGCGTGCCCAGGATCCTGAGAGGAGAATGGAGGAGAAGGGACTATGGTGTGACCATCCCTGGGGCGGGGGTGATGTCTCGCTTTCTGTCTCTCTGTGTCTCTCTGGCAAGTGCACACGCCCTGTAGCAAAAACCTCTCAAAAAAAAAAAAAAAAAGGCTTTTTTTAAAAGATATTTTTTGCCATAGGGCACTCATTAGAGAGAGCTAGAGACAGAGAGAGGGGAAGTGAGAAATCACTCCCCAGGGGGGATGGCCATGTCACAATGCCCTCTCTTCTCAGGATTTTGGACACACACACACATGCCCACACATCTGGCATGATTTTCAAGCGCTGGGTCCAGGTACTCAAACCACAGTCGTCTATGTGAGAGTTCACATGCTAAATGCTTTTTAAAGGGTGGGTAACAGCGGTATAGTCATACATTCTAATAAATCAAGACCCTGTAAAGTTTCGGGGTAGGAGGAGGACAAGTCACCTGGAAGCAGGTGATACTCTCAGCTATGCCAGTGGCTCCTCAAGGGCCTCTTGACGCCTCTGCGAGCATTTCCACCTCTCTGACCGTCCCACCCCCTGGGAGGTAGGCAGGGCCAGCATTTCATGGCTCATGTGCTCTATGGGAAGATGGGGGCTCCCCACACCCCCAAGCCCCCAGCCCCTGCCTCTCGTTGCAGCTCATCTTCCCCGACCTGGTGGAGGGGCTGGTGCTGATGAACATCGACCCCAATGGCAAAGGCTGGATCGACTGGGCGGCCACCAAGGTGAGCAGGTGGCCCTGGGAAGCGGGGTGGTGAGATGAACGTGGCACTCACGCTGGTTCCCCCCTCGACCTGCAGCTCTCTGGCCTGACCAGCACTTTACCTGACACGGTGCTCTCTCACCTCTTCAGCCAGGTAAGGGGCCTGGGCTTCTGTGGACCTGGGGCCACCCTGAGACAGGACCAGTGGTGGCAGGGCTGGGATTGCATGGGGTACTGGATGGCTGCTGAAGGCCTGGGTATGCCCACTCTTGGGACACCTGGGGCCTCTGCCCTCCCAGCTGGTGGGAGGAGGCGAGCTGTGGTCATTCGCCCTCTGACCTGTCTTCGTATTGGGTTACCCATGATGCTGAGAGAGATGGAGGGTGCAGCTCTGTGGTGCTTTCCCCTCCCAAGTTCCTACCCCTATTGCCTTCCACCCCCTGCTCCCTGCTGGGAGCAGGACAGGGCTGCTCTGGTGGTGGCACCTGCACGTCCCCTCTGAGCCCATGTCCACCCGTCCACTCCCTTTACCCCCTGACTCATCCCGCTGGCCCAGGAGGAGCTGGTGAACAACACGGAGCTGGTGCAGAGCTACCGGCAGCAGATCGGGAACGTGGTGAATCAGGCCAACCTGCAGCTCTTCTGGAACATGTACAACAGGTGGGGGCAGGGCGGGGCTTGGCAGCACCAGGACCCAGGGTGCCATGGGGCTGGGGTGTTCCTTCCCTGATGGGAAGAGGCCGGGCAGGCTACATGCTCCCCTAGTTTGTAGATGGGCAGGTTACTGAGCCTGGGAGAGGGTCACTTCTGCCCAGGGCCACACCTCCAGAGGGGCAGAGGGGGAATAGGGCTTTGGACTGGGTCCTTAGACTCTTCTGCTTCTCCCTTGGGGTACTGTTGGCCAGGAGCATTGCAGGAAGCTAGTGACACTGCTGACCCCAACGGCCCTGACCTTGGGGAGAGGTGAGAAAGAAAGAAAGAGAGAAAGCGGGAAAGCAAGCCACCAGGTCTGGGGCATGAACCGTTTGGCCATGTGGGAGTCCAGCACCCCTAGCCACCACGCCACCTGAGGCCCAGACTCTTAAGCTGTGCTCCTTGGAACTCTTTTGGGGGTTGGCCAGGCCCCCTCACTCACCTGCCCTTCTTTCTCTTTCTCCTACAAATATTGATTAAGCCCCTGCTGTGTGCATGGTTCTGGAAAACAAAGAAAACTGAGAGACTCTGGCCCTGCTGTCCCACAGGGTCCCGGAGACACAGCAGCAGCAGAAACTCCCCCTACACAGGAGGTGGTGCCCATCACTCGAGGGAGACAGAGAACAAAATTTGAGTGCTCGCCTGGCGTGTGTTAGGGGGCCCAGAGAGTCACACACGAGGGGAGCCCCACGGGCTCTGTTTACGCAGCGCAGTGCCTTGGCTCCCTGTCTCACCAAGCGGTGGTGCGGGGCTTAGGGTCACACCCCCACGCCTGGTCCTGGGATGCCCACCTCTGCCCCTCCTCCCGCAGCCGCAGAGACCTGGACATTAACA